AAAGATTTCTTTAATTAAAACTTAATTTAAAATATACAGGTTATTTAACGTGTTTACACATTTTAACATGGTTTATTAATTATTGGCAATTTTACCTGGCTGTTATAATGTGTATATAACATGGGAAAGTATTGCAAATCTTGATGTTTCGAGACCTCCAAACTCAAAACAAGTGGAAAAAAAAGGAAAATAATTCCTAGAATATGCATACGTGTGTTGTTGTCCATTTTGTTTAATATCTTAGGATTGAGAAAAGATTAAAAAAACAAAATTTGTCATAGTAACTTGTATATAAGGGGCATTAATACAATTAAATTTTGAAGTACATTATTAAAGGGGGAGGGGCGATAGAGCAGGGTTACAGATCATATATTGATTGGGGTAAAACTTAATGAAAATGTTTCTCATATGGGGTTTAAGTTCTTTTAAAATAAAGATTTTTGGACTGCAATTTGAAAAAATTGTAGACCAATAAATTCCTATTATCATCCGTTCACCCTTAATTTCGAGAATGGAGTTAGATATATGAAAGCCGAGACCAGATATGGAAAGATTAGGAGCAAGAAGCTCCAATTAACTATATACAAACTTCCGATGCAAACCAGAAGTCATGTTATTTCAATTCAAAAATTTTCACCTGAAAGAGGTTAGTTAGATGACCAACACGACTGTGTTGCTAACAGGAAAAGTATGATGTACAGGAGCAAGACGCTACTAATTTGAGGTGGAGAGCATACAGTTTAAATTAAATAAATTTTAAAAAATATGATTAAAAATTGCAACTTGGCATTGTGACAATGTCACAATAAATAATTGCTTGTATCTTATAAAATTTTTCCAAAATGCCATCTCAAATTTTAAAAAAATCTAGTAACTTGCTGCTGAAATTTTTATATTACGCATCACTCTTTTTGTATAATCCAATTTTGGAAAAGTCGTTAACAGGTGCTGTATAGAAACTTTGCTTAATGCATTCTCACTTAACATGTTACTTTCAAGTAATGTATCTATAGCAGTATCAGTGTGTATATAATTAAACACTTACTAATTATATTAGTTTTTATATAAACAATCTATAAGACAATTTGCCAACAAGTGGATTGCAATCTAATGATTGGCGCACACTTTTATATTACAAATCTTAAAGTACATAACAATTTATACTATCCAAACCAGTAAACTTTAATCATTTAACAGTCATTGCATTCAAACTGTGGAGATACAAATTATAATCTTTGAGTGCACCAAACACAAACTACTGACTAAGCTAGGTTAAGAACAGGGCTGTGGAGTCGCGTAAAAATCTACCGACTCCAACTCCGACTTTTCCTTATCATCCGACTCCGGCTAAAACACCAAAACTCCACGACTCCGGCTCTGACTCAACAGCCCTGCCAGGGCTGTGGAAGTCACGTAAAAATCTACTGACTCCAACTCCGACTTTTCCTTACCATCCGACTCCGGCTAAAACATCAAAACTCCACGACTCCGACTCCGCAGTCCTGGTTAAGAAACACTGCTCTAAAATTGTTAATATTTTAAATATTGTACTTTAAACATCAACTGTACTTTACTCTTTAAGGACAGTTATTTGTCGAAAATTATAAATTTCTGCAGTTATACGTTTGTTATTTTAGTAGCAGCTATCATATATTTTATCTGATATAAAAAGTAAACAAATAATATTTATAACGTTGTTATTTTAAACTAGATTTAAAAGTATAAAAATAAATTTTTAATTGTATAGAATAAAAATTATTTTGTTTTAATTATAAATGAATATTTTATTTTGATGTAACAGGTTATAAAAATTCAAAAATACAAAACCAAATGCATTAGATGATGAATAAAACTGTTTTTCCTTCTGTTTTATGTAATATAGAATTTATAATTAATACAAATGTTTTCACTCTTCTTGTCAAAATTAATAAATATATTACTAACAAGATAAGCAGCAGCCATATTTTGAAGTGGTTTCTATTGATAACTTTTGAGTGATGGCATACAGAATTCACAGAATACACTTAAAAAAACCCTTCTTCTAAAGACTCAAAATTGATGAATAAAATTCAATACTCACATTTTAATAACAAAATATTTTAAAACACTATTTAAAGTTCACTTTTTAAACTATATTTTGCATTAGAATTCAAAAATGAAACATAAAAATACTTTTATTTAAATTTTTAATTTTTTTTATAGAATCATATCTTCCCGACTCCTTGATAATTTAAAAATTTGAGTAACTACCATTAAAGAACTACATCAGAAAATATAAATTTTTGAAATTTCTCGCAGCTTCAGATCGATTTTGTAGCTCAGCATCGTGTATTTTCCTATGATACTGCAAAGTGGAATTTACAAATGAAAAGAAAAGACCCAAAGCAACAAAACTCTCAAACTTTTAATCAATTTTCTTATTATTTAATACTGTAAAGTTGGAATTTACGGATGAATTTTGCTTATAATTTTTAGGTTTAAAGATCTGAGCAAAGACCATTTCAGCAGTAGAATACTTGGATTGAAATTTTACTTAAATCTGCTCATTTATTACACTTTTATTTATATAAATATAACTTTGCAGGTATTGAAAACAGCAGTTTACAGATCACTGAAGTTGTGTAGTGAAGGACCCAGATAGTATTCCACTTAGAAATAATAACGTTGTCAAGTGCCGTTATCTGAATCCAACCAAAGCTTGATGAATCGGGCTAGTCCCAAGCCCAGATTAGGGAGGATTAGCAAAAGAGAGAGCAATTTTTAGGAAGAAAATTAGTAAACACACAAAGTGTGATTAATAATGCTGGAAAAATGAGAAGGAGATGTAAATATAACTTTGCAAAGCTACAAAAAATGCAAATCAATTGTAAAAACTCCAAAATAAATTTGCCAATTTAAGTTAACAATCTTTAAAACAAACAAAACAATACTTTGTTTTTAAAATTTTATATAATTCTTCTCAATAAAAATTTAATATTAGTATTAAGAAATAAATTACTCTCAATTTAAAAAATTGTGAGGATTATAGGACAATTTTCTCAATTTTATACTAATAATATCCAAATTAACTATGATATTTTAAACAACATTAATAGAATCATAATCTATTATAAATAAAACAATAGTTTTGCATCATTTCCAATACCACATTTATCAGGCCTTATGAGATCTTATAACAGCATTTGATCATCAAATTTAACTTGTGATAAGTGTTAAATATAATCACACCCAAATATTTATTACACATACATCACAAATATTAATATATAAATAACTGATCTGCATATATAATCTATAAACTTCATACGGCCAAAATTCTATATAGCCAACTTCTAAGTCTACATCATATTCTAAGTAAATAAAAATTATAAAAAACAATAATCTATATTATTTTCTCCTCCTCCTCCAGTGTTATTAGTCTTTCTTGGAGTTGCTACTTTTGACTTTATTCATAGTTCTTTCTAATCCTTCCACTTGATAGTGGATAGTCACTATACTTCAGATAAGAATCTTAATTAATTTATTCTGAATAAAATTAAATTTTCTCTTCTTTATTTTCTTAAATCATAATAACAAAATTTATTTTGCTATTATGATTTAAGAACTTTTTATCAGTAAATAATTGTTCAAGAACATAAAAGATTGGTTGAGTCTCAGTATGAAAGCTACGATTGATAGACATTTGTGGTACTCTGCTCATAGGATTCAGATTCATTGTCATTCTATTTAGCTGCAGACTTTATGTATGTATATAAACAATGTAAGCTTTTAAGAAATGTCATTTATTTATATGTCATTTTATTTGAAGTTGGCCATGGATGATGAGGATAAACAAACTCCAGCATAAATTATTCACAAAAAATCATGAGAATTCGGACCACTCATATATACAGTTTCTATGAAGACTCTATTCGTTCTAATTAGAAGTTATCTGTAACTCCTATTTACTGTTTAAACTTCAGTCTTTTTCTTAGGTTCATTTAGACATCTTCCATGTTCTGATATTGATAATGCAAAGTTATTAGAGCAATCATAATAACCGTTTTTAAGTTTTTGACAATTTTAAGGCAGAGTTGATAAATTTTCTCTTTAATAATGCCCTAAAATAAGCTGCTACATATTGTTACATTTAGGTTTTGAAAAGATTACATATTATATCTGCGCTGATTTACACTGAATCTATCAGATATATTCTATAATTGGGAGACACTAAAGACAATGTCACACATGCAGATTTTCTGACCATTCTGTACATTTCTTGAAGAAGTACAGCAATGATTCTCAACCACTGTGCTGTGGCACTTTAGTGTGTTGCCACTGCGAATACCCATACATAAGTGACGTCAGACTAGTAGTTTAATCGGTTCTACCTTCCTAGAGAAAATAACCAACTGTGTTTAAAAGTCACTGTTATGATGTCGCCGGTTGTCCAAAGTAACCAAGTGTGCTGCCAAATTTTTAAATTATTAAAAGTTAAACATGACGAAAAAAAGATTGAGAATCACTTAAGTACCGTGTCATCCAAAATGAATGCTATTCATTATTGTGCAATATAACTTTTGCAGACAATTTCAAAGCGATCCACCACATAAGACAAACATTCTTTAGTGATAACAACAGTTCCAGGAGATCACAAAACGATTCCAAGTTTGCAAACTGCAGAACATAAAACACCTTCTCTGTTACAAAGTTGCCATTTTTGTTTACGATGCTTCCTAGAAGTAGTTAACAACACATTTGAATGCAGATGGGAAATGAAACTCCAACAGTTATTATTCCATTGATCAGTATTTGTCACATACTTCTTAGATAATAATTAACATAATTACAGTTATTTAAAATTGTGGAAGACCATGTACAAAAATTTCTCATACCATAACCATTTTACAATTATAATAAAAGACTATACAAATCAAACCAAAATATTAGAAAAACACATTTTCAAAGCTGTAAAGCAGTATTCTTATAATGAAACAGTCAATCATTATATATTTCTTTTATTATATAATTCTCATTACATTTAACTGAATCATTTCTAATCCTATATTTTCTAACAGTTTATATAATATCATAAAAATATTACTTACAAACATCTTTAAGTGTCTGGCACAGACGAGTCCGTCACCTCCATTATTACCCGGTCCGCAACATATCAACACCGTGCCACCTTTGCCCATGTTTGAACGAGGGTAAGTTTTTGCAATTGCTGTAGCAACACTCAATCCCGCCAATTCCATCAACTGGTCGACGCTGTAGCAATATTCATTGAATAGTTCTTTATCAATATTAATGGCTTCTTCCTGACTGAGGAAAAAAAAAGAGAACAACATTATAATTTAATTATTCAAAAATTAAGAAAAGCAATTTAAAATTACCATTTGATGCAATTTCACTTCATTAATGTAATGAAATAAAAAACATTAATGACAAGAATGATAATTTACATAATTTAAAAAGTTTGCTGATGTAATAGTTCTACTAAATTATTTGACCTTTTTCTGTTTATAGATGAAACATTTAATTTTCTACACATCACAAGTTTTTCTTGCTCTGTTCTGTAGATAGAAGCCTCAAATCATCATGTATATTCTATTCTAGAAAACTCACCTTCACATCTGAAGGATCTCCTATAGATGTGAAGATCTTTCTGCTTTGCATTACAAGCAAAATATGACCAAAAGTATCATTCATTGTGACTATGATGGAGAACGTAGAAACAGGCTAAAAAAATTTGAAGTTATTATTTCAAAACATCCAATTCTTTCATTCTGCTTCTTCATTCTCCACTAACTCACTCCGAGTGTTCCATAAAAACACAATATTTAAGTTTTTATTGCAAATTTATTCCAATGTACTACAGAATATTACTTTATTCATAGACAATTCCATGTTTACTATTTTATTCAATACAATGAAGTTTATTAGATTAATGCTCCATTGTTTCATAAGAATAGTAAATATGAAATTGCTTATTGATTTTTGAATATATTGATGCTAATGTTCCACTTAATAAAAAGTATATGAATGGCGTATAAACTCGTAAAGGTTAAGAACCAATGTTTTAAAAGCTAGAAGCTTACTTTCCTACGTATTTTAAAACAGTTATTAGTTTTTACTGTTATATTTATTTATATTAATTTTATATATTTAAACAAATACTTTAATTATTGATTGATTGGTTAACAAGAAGCACAACCTTAGAATTACACGCCAATACACAACATCACCCATTACAAATGCTGGTTGGCATCGTATCCAAAAGGTTGGCATGTATGTGGGATAGGAAACAATGCCCAAATCCATAAAAACTACAAAAAATTATAGGGGCATGGACTGAATTTAAACACGAGTACTTGTCAACAATAAGTTTGCCTTTTATTACGTAGCTAACATTTTACTGTATTTTAATTCTTAAAATTATTAAAATACTTAATAAAAATCCATTTAAATTATTAGAAAGTAACTTCCTATAACTGAAGTTCTTTAATTAAATTATACAGGAATATTCTACTAAAAATCCAAATTTTATCAATCCAACATATATTTTTGCAAGAAATTTATCAATAAGTATGTTGTTGCTGTAAGAAAATTCCACTTCTCTGATTAAATTCATAAAAAATATATCACTCTGTCTGTTTCTATTCTTGTTTTATTCCCAAATTTCTACAACTGTTAAACTTTTCCTTATAAAAATAAAAATAAAGCAATAAAAACTATATTTTTATGCAGAGAAAGTATATATAAAAGTTTAAAAAATATCAGAAAAATTCATCTAACTGCAATTTAATTAAATTAGACCATCAAAAATTATCTTGCAACTAAAATTAAACAAGTTAATTTCAGTTAAAAGGGGGGACAAAATACATTAAAACAGAAATTATTTATAAAATGCACAGGTGGAAGCGAACATAGTTTCCGTGCCTTTTCCATTCATTAAGTCCAAAATAATTAATTTAATACCATTTTATTAAAATTCGGAGATTTGCCTCGTCACAAAATGAAATAATCGCCACAAAGGCAGAAATGAATTTTAAAATTGAAAATATTTCTAATGTTTGCAGGATACTGACAGCATATATACTTTATTCGCATTTCTATTTGAGTTCTTACATGTATTTCCTCTTATTGAAGGAAGAGTTATATACAAGTCGACCCCTCCTATAACACTGTTCATAATTCCGTTTTATATGAATTCCATGTTGTACGAGTCACTCAGATTTTACAAATACGTGTGTCAGGCTATGAACGGTTCATGTATTTGTAAAATATAAGTGACTCTTACAACATGGAATTCATATAAAACGGAATTATCAACAGTGTTATAGGGGGTCGACTGTACTTTTCGGATCCTCAAACCGTGACAAAGCCCAATAACATGTTTATTTTGCATGTAAAACATTAAAAAAAGCATAGTTTTCAACTGAAAAATGTAAATTTTTCAAATTTCTAATTAAAAAAACAGCCAGAAAGATAAATTTTTAGTACCAAACAGTGATTTTTATCGGATATTAAGAATTAAAAATTCCTTCTTGATCAAGAAAAAATGCTAATATATAATCAATAAAACTTGTGGAGACCATAAAATCACTCTTTTTCTCTAATTAAAAATTCGATGAAAGGTTATTAAGAGCGCTCATCTACTTTAAAACTAATTATAATAATAAACGCAACCAGCTAAATGATTAATTAACTTTTATCGACTTTTTAAAATTTTTTTCTGGTGTTGTTATAAAACGTATTTCTATAGGTTATAAAATTCTGGTATGCGATCCGCGAAAGAAAAGGATTGGACGGTTTAAATTAGCACTTGTTTCATGTCATCAATTATTTCAAGTTAATTTTTTTTTAATTTTGAAATAGATTTCAAAATAAACCAATCACAAGGCTTATATACAAATTTTCGAATTTTTATAATTACCCACAGTGCAATGATTTTCGAAACAAACCAATCACAAAGACTCCAAATTCAAATTTTCGCATTACCCATTTCGTCATCGATTTCACTGGGGGGAAGACCAATAGAATCGCTCCAATTTCTTTTTTTGAATTTCCGCCATTTTACCTACGACTTCCGAGTTCGTAGAGTGGATTTGGCAGTTTTCTTCTGGAATTTCGTGACGGAAAGGCTCGATTTTCTTAACGTTACGTGCGCGTTAGAATTAAGGAAGAAAGTGAAATACAAAAAGCAAGAATGAAAAATGGCGATGATTATGCAAAAATAGTTTGAAGAAACGTCTATTAATATGAATACGCGGCAGTTAAAGTAGAGAAAATATGTTTACTCACACGCGTTTATGTAGTGGGAGTAACAGATGCAGTTAACATATAATCGATACTGAAAAATTGCAGATGTAAGAGTTAAATTTAATAATGAACATGCCCAAAAATAGATATATATATACCAATTTTATAAGCACAAAAGTCAACATTTCAGTTGCTAATTATAACAGAAACGGTCCGTTAATTTCCGCAGAGGTAAATGGCGATGATGATAGAAATGAAAGTATAGATAAATGCAAACGTACGAAAATTTCCTTTAGCAAGTCGCCATGGCAACAAAACCCATAAGCGAATATTTTAAGCATAATTAAAGCTTTCACACTGAAAGAAAATTAGTAATAAAATGTACAAAACTTTCTTTCAGTTCTAATCGGACTCGACATTTCTAACTCGCTCTCCTACGACTTTTCATATATTCCTTAGTTAAAGATTAAAATCGTTTGATTTTTCCATAAACCAATCAAAATTTCTCTTTTAATCGCTTCTAATAAGCGTTCCGTTCTAGAAATATCAATTTTTCTATAAGAATTTGAATCCGTGGAGCGACGGTGGCGCTAAAACGGCAACTAGCGAGTTAAATATGACTAAACGGTATATATTTCGATTGTGTTGAGTAAAACGACTGCGGAGTGTCTCCCGAACATAATCCAAATCGATTTAATTTGCTGTTTGTTGTCGTGTCGATAAATAACAGGTTGTAATAATATCATATACCTAGATTACTGAACTAAACTGGAGATTATCGCTTGATGAATTTTGTGGGGGGTGCTCGGTTTTCTAATTAAAATACTCTAAATTGCAAACTAATGATATTGATAAAATTAATTTACTAATTAACTAATTTTAATCATTATTTTTTTTTTACATTGTCAGTCGTTAGCAGCGCGTTGAATAATACGGTTTTTACAGTGGTGGTGTGATTTCGGGGGTGTAAAATGATGGGGGAATTTCCCCTAAATTACTACATCGCTCGATAAATATGGCTTCATCCCCGGAGCGTGTATAGAAATCCCTAAAAATAAACTAGCCACAGATATAATTGAAAATACAGGAAGATAGTTTAAAAGCACGCTTGGCTAACTCTAGTCTTTAACGTTTTGAATGATATATAACCCAGCATAACAGAGAAAAAAAAGGGGGATTCGTTTGTAAAAATCATCGATCGTGCGTAGTTAACAACAAAAGTCCATTTGCAGTAATAGTCATTAAAAAAGAAGCAAACAAAAAGAAAAAAAAATTGCACGTAATTCGTTTCGGAACGAAGAGGAACTTAATTAGAATTACGCTTTAAATAATTAACGTCAGATCGTATTACATAAAAATAAAACATGGCCAATTTATGCAAATCGAAGTAATTGACGTAAACAAACAAGAAAATTGCGTTTTTGTGTATTTTAAAATTTTTTTTCCTCCTTTTAATGTTGCGCTCTCTTAAGTGCGGGTTATACGCGACGGCATCGGATTTCCCGTTCTTCCCTACTTCTAAGCCGATTTAAAGGTATTTTCTATTGTTAACTGTATCGAGCATCTTACCTGATATACAACAGGTTATCAGCTTTAACTAAATTAGTTTCTGAATAATCGGTTTTTCCACGATCGACACTTATACTCTTAGGCCTTCTACGAAACGAGAAACGACTTGATTTCTTGTCACTCTTCTCCATCTTTTAGCTGCTATATAAATATATATATATATATATATTTAGGATTTCTTCATCACAAGCCGACCAGCCGACTCGTCTGGTTGTCTGACATGCTAGGTGAGATGTGGGAGACGTTGGTTCGGGTCGATGGAGAACAGTCCATTAATAAAGCCAAGGGACGAGAAACCAGAGATGGGCTTACGATTGTTATTTAAATCGTTTATCTACCGTTTCCACCTCGAGTAAACTATGTTACGCTATATTAAAATAGAAGTAAGAAGCGTAACAAGTCGAACGAGAGCCTACGGTTACGAAAATAGCGAAGAATTCTATAGAATTATTAAAGGATACCTGTCTTTACAGGTATAAATGATGCTGTTACGTAGCAACCGTCGGTCCCATCTGGGATGAGGATAGGAGGAAAATAAAAAGGAAGAGAGGGAAGAAGAAAAAAAAAAAAGTGTTTCTAAAGCGAAAAGTGCCCTTTGATAACCCGAATGGAAGATCGAGGAACGTTGCTTAGCAACCAAAGGTGCTAAAACGTTTGATTACCGAAACAGGTGCAAAGCAAATGGAGTTCCATTAAACACAGAATTGACCAAGTTCACCTTATTTACAGTACATACAAATGGAAAATATATATAATATATATATATTTTTTTTATTTAAACTTTAAAAT